AAACATTTTCATTGGATCCAATTCTTAGGTCTAATACAAGTTATCTTATGGAATCAATATCTCCTACTAGTTCAATGATAACAATTGATGATCTTCCTGAAACTGAAGCAGATGTAAATCTATTAACTGATACTTTCAAAAACATAAAAACTTCAGAGTACATTCCAGATATATCAAATAATGTTAAAGACAAAATATCAGAACCGCTTTATATGAAGGGATTACCAGATGTTACCAAAGATACAAATAAAATACCAACATTAATTAATAGAACACTAGTTCCAGCACCAATTTTGAAAACAAACAAACAATTGCAACTGCCACTACCAACTAGAAAGAATGCATTACAGCAAGAACCTACATTCAAAAGTGCAGAAATGCAGCCAGTTGTTATTAATAAAGAAAGTAGTACAAAGATAAATGCTTCCTTTAAACCTATAAAATTAATGTCCTTTTCACAAAAGTCACATTCTATTTTAACTATACCAACTGCATTTCATGAAGATCTAACTAATGAAATATCTACAGATAAATCATCTCATATCTCACCAGTAGAAAGTAATCCCAGTGCAACTCTGGCACAAAATAATATAATTACAAGCCCAAATAATACAGGTGATATTAAAACTCTAACACAAAAGAAAAAGAAACTGCTTAAAAGGGGATTAAAAAGAAAAAGTGCTACATCATTAATTGCAAAAAAACACAATACATTATGTACAAACGATGATAATGTAAATACTGTAGATAAGCAAATATGTAAATCAGATCAAGTTCTTTATGCAGATAATAAACAAAATCAAAAAGAAACGCAGACACGAATGGACGAGACAGATTGTGTCCATATATGTACGTCAGAAATGTCCAAAAATATTGATGATAAACTAAATAAAATTTCTTTAGAAACTAATGAAGATAAAATACAGAGAAGTAATAATTCATCTAATGATACATCAGCACAAGAAAAGAGTACAGAAGACAGAAGACAAAGTCTTGATGAAGATGAAGATGCATTAAGGGCAATTTTATTAGCTTCTTTGCCAAAACGAACAAAAATCACTAACAGTTGTTCCAATTCAGTTGCACTTACAACAACAAGTACTACATCTGCTGTATCAAATCAAGTGTTTGTAAATCAAACTGTATCAAATATGGTATTATCTACAGTTAATAATTTACCAACTCCACATATAAATTTATGTGCTTCTGAAAACGATAAAAATCAATCAAATGCCGGAGAGAAAATATATAATGTTACACAGAAAAGTTTATCTCTTGAAAGTGTTAAGGCTTCAAACACAGTAATTGGAAGAAAAAGATCAATTCCTATAACAAAAAGTCCACAGAAGAAATTTATAAAAAGAATTTCAATTCCTGCAAGTACAAAAGTTGTAAATAATGCGAAAAAATACCAAAATACAATGATTCAAAAGAGATTAAATTTACAAAGAGCTACAATTTATAACAAGCAAAAAATTGCAGAAAATGAAGTTCTGTCTAAAATGAAATCTAATGACAGTAAATGGTCTGCTAATACAAAGGCATTGTCCGATACACAAAGGATTGTTATAAATTTAGAGTCTGATACAGAAAGTGATTCTGAATCTGAATGGCAAAAGAGTACAGCTGCTTCTTCAGCACATACTGTCACAATAGAAAAACATCAACCAGCAATAAATCCTACAGCAGAGTTTGAAAAAAATTTAGATCAATTTTTACGTGCAGTACGGAAAAAACAAGAATCTATGGCAGCTGCAAGACCAACTGTAATATCACAAACATCTAAGAAAGATGCAGTATTAGTAACAAAACCAGAAAAATCAAATTCATCCAATCTACAAACACCACTGGTAAGAATACTACAACAAAATATTCTATCATATATGAAATATTTAATTATTTGACTATTTTTACAGGCTGTTCGTCATTTACCTGCATCTCAGCAAGAGGAATATCGACGGTTAAAACAACAAATTTTAGAACGCGAGAAGCTGAAGCTACATAAAACAATAGAAAACAACAGTTTAATAAAAAATAAAAATATGGAAGTATCTTCAAAACCCATATCATCCAATAGCTCAAGTAAAGAGTTATATGCGAGACTACATTATACAATACCCTCAAAAAGTCAAAGTATAAGTACACAACAATTAAATAAGGAAAATTGCTCTAAAAATTTAGCAGATTCAGTAAAAAGTACCACTATATCAACGAGCAACATTCAGTCATGTATCAGCAAAATGTATGATGTTGATAAACAAGAACATACAGATTCAACTCAAATAAAAGCACTAACAAAGTCAATAATAAATAATATATCTGTATCTGCTGAAAGTAGTCCAAATAATATTGGAAACAAAGCAGTTGGAAACATGCAACCGACGAATATATCGCGAAAGAGTCCAACGAAAACAAAAACTTCACCTAGCTTAAAAATTTTATCTACAGATGAAGTAAATCGAAAATATGTACAGGTACAAGTAAAAAATGATACAAACGATCGAGTGGTAACAATAAATGATAAAGTGACCTTAAATAACGAAACAATAATCGATCGAAGTGAAAATATTTCTGGAAATAAAAATAGCAGTAATAAAAATATATATGATAATAATATAAATCAACTTTCATGTCCTACAAAGGAAGACATTGTTTCTAATAATACTCCATTTGGTAATAACAATACAGTGGACTCAGATACATCGACTATTATTTTATCAAGAACTCCTCAAAGTTGGAACGAAAGTCTTAATACATCTGAATCTACAATATATCTTCCACAATGTCAGGAAGATACATTATTGACTTCAAGTACAAAAGATAAACATGACATCCATTTTCTATCGCCCAAAAACAATATATCACCAAAAGATATAAGAAGCGTAGAAGAAAATTGGGAAGAAATTAAAAAAGATGTCAAGACAGAGCTAAATACTCTTATTAATCTTTCACGCGCGGAACAAGAACAACGTTTACTAGATACAGAACAAGAATTAGTTATGAAACGGTAACCAACTTTCTAATGAAAATTCATTAATATCCATTAATTTTTAGTGTATTTCTATATAATAATTTATTCATTTCTTGATAAAACAGCTATACAATCTTAGATGATTTGGCGAAGATGTCGCAAAATCTTCGTCAGTGGCATATGGAAAGAGATCTACAGACGAATTTAGCGGCTGAAGTCAAAAAGCTCAGGGAACAGCTCAAAGTTGCTGAAGAAAGATTACAAGTGCAACGTAATCGTATTAATAATATAGGTCCAAAAGTAGTAGAAGCTCGCGGAAAAATCAATGCAGGTCGCCAAAAATGCTATAAACTCGCAATTATTTGTACAAACTTGGGAAATAGAATCGTAGGAAGAGATTATAAGTAATATATTAATAGAATCATTACTATTAATCTTCAAATCACTGTGAACACAAAATATAAATATTTTTAATTCTTTCACTGTATCTTCTAGGATACCTGAAGCTGGAGCACAACTTTTAGATAATAGATTGAAAGAAGTAGCTAATCACACGCGGCAACTTTCCCGGAAAAAAGTACCATCTATTGACATTTCCGACATATACGAATTATCAAAATTGGAAGAAACAACTGTGTCTAGTGCATGTACAGAAATTTGTCAAAGTGACACTCTGGAAGAATCCAATACAACAATTTTAAACGAAAATGAATCTCCAATAAAATCTAATGAAATTAGAAAAACTGTATGCAAAGAAGTTACTACAGTAAATGTAAGTGATACAGATAAGAAAAAAAATATAGTATTAAATAATTGTGCTCCAAGCATTAATGAAGAAAGTACACCTACACAAAACAACCATGAACAAGAAGTATCTACTGAACAAACAAACTTAAGTGATAATCCTGTTCCTACTACTGGTGTGCTTAACTCGCAAGATGCTCAAAAGCTGGATAATGAGGTAGTGGTACCAGAAAATAATGTAATAAGGTCTACAACTTTAGAAGCGGGCAGTAAAAGGAGGAATGCTACGAGACTTGAAGGGGAACTTTCAACGAAAAAAACACTTTTACCTTATGAATCAATATTAACACACTTTAAGGTACCAAGGTGGGTTTTTGCTCTCTAAATATTTCAATAATATAGGATATTTATTTCTAAATAAAAAATGTACAGTGTTCTTCTAATTTAACTTTCACAAAAATTTCGAGTATTTTTTTTGTTGTTTTTATCATTCTTAACCAGGAATACGAATCCCAATGGCGTCCTTTGTCCATACGAACTGATGGGAACATGCAGTGATGGAGATTGTCAATTTATTCACCAAACAGGGAGCCAAACCAAGTAGCATTTAGCTACCAAAATGGCATTGTTAAAATATACGTAAGGTGGTTTTAATCTTTATTCATAAGATTCAGAGGACATTAAAAAATAAAAATCAAGATTTTTATTGAAAGTGATCACACTTTATTATAATCTATTAACTTCTAAATTCAAACATTTTTTATTATGAGTAAATGTTATCACTTTACAATTACAGACACTACTATTTCTGAGAATGCAAAATCCCACATAGATGGAAGCTGTTAACAAGCAGAAGTAACACCCGAAGATGGTAAGTTATCTTCATCACGGCAAGAGTTTGTGCACAAATTAAAGTAGCAATTTTATTATATAAAGATCATAAATTTTAAAAAAAGCAAAATTTTTAATACTGTGCTATTTCAAGCTTCTATTCTAACGAAAATTTAAAGAAAATTTGCTGCAAGTGTTTATTTTTTACATATGTAAAAAGTGTCATATATGAACTGCAAGTAACTAGTGTGATTAATGTAAAAGAGAAAGAAGATATTGTTGACCGATTGTTGAAGGCAGCCGAATGACTGGCCAACGTCGGGCATTGCAACAAATATTCATTTCATACTTCTATATAAGTTACCTCATAAAAGTCTTGTACCTGTATAATAAAAGATTAATATTTTTTTCTAATTGCGAGTTTATTTATTTTTAAACTTAAGTTTATATCCCTTAGCCATAGAAAACAATATACAATCTTCCTAAACTCTATATTTGTTACTAGGAAATTTCCCTTGATTTTTATATTTGTGTTAGATTAATTTGTCCTTAACCCTAAGTTCATCCCATCGACTAATCCATTCCCTTGGACATATAGATGTAAAGACTTGTTTAAACCAAGTGCATACGTCTGATCCCTCTCCTAAAGTACGCTCGCAACGATAGAAATCATGGTACATTACCCAACAGCGTAATGTTTGATTTTGTTGTTGAAATCTAAATAACGATATTACAAATTACTTTAATTCAGAATATGAAAAAGATCAATTTTAATCATATTATAGATGTCAATTAACAGAAAAGTAATATAGTAAAACAAACCTTGGATCTTCACCAGGAAATACAAATCGTACATGTCTTTTTTTGTCTTCCTGTTTAAGACATGGATCATCTTCGTCTATAGTTATAGTTATCTTTTTCTTCGGTTTTCTTTCATCTGTTGCGATATTATCAATCATTAGATTTGTATCATTCGTATCATACGTATTATCTTCATCTCTTTTTTGAGAAGTAGTTTTCGTTTCAACCGAAACATTAATTTTATTATTTTCATTGTTTTTATCAGAATCCATTATATTTTATATCCATAACTTAATTCATGTACACAAATAAAATATACTATTTATAATAAATTAATTTATAATAAGCGTACAATGAATTACGCGAAACGAATAATACATGAGACAGAAAATTAATAGAGACGTGAATGTCGATTAGAGTATACTTTATTTTATTGTGACAATTCAGATTTTTTGAACATAATAAATAAAAATAGAAATTTGAAAATGTAGAACTCCCTCTATGTGGGCAAACGTTTATTATCAATTACTTATCAGTTGCTTACGAAGAATTATATTGTATAACAAATTTGAAATTATTTAATTTTTAATATCTCTGATAAATACTAAACTTCCTCTGTGACTACTTTTCATTTTAAATATAGAAGTTTTTCAGCAATAAAATAATAGATAAAATTTGTATTTAGTGCAGCCAACTGCGAAATGTACACAAATTAATCACAACTTCAGAGGCATGTGCGGTGACACAAGATAAGGAAGGATGAAACAATACGTGTTTTGAAAAGTATTTTTTTGCTAATATTTAAAAACATAATAATATTAATATGATACCGTTAGGGCATTTACTTCTTTATGCTATTTTATTTGCAGTAATATGTATAATTGTGGTACGTTTCTAGGTTATAATTACAATTTCTATGTTATTTAAATTTGTATAAACGTGGCAAATCTATAGGTACATTAATATCTTATAATTATAATTTGTTTTATTAAAATATTGTATACGTAGCTGCGATTATATCTTCGATATTATAATGAAATTAATTACATGCTTTCAGTTTTCTATAATATTATTTGTAATAACGAAACCATATCCAGAAATATGGCAAGATGAGAAGGAAAAGTACTTTTACAATCCAAAAACGAAAAAAACAGAAGCTTTTCCGTCTTTATATGAAAAATGGAGCGTACATTTAAGTGTTATAGTACCAGCTTATAATGAAGAGCAAAGATGTAAATATTGATGCATTAACAGTAATGTTATGAAAACATAATGTGTTTATATATTTAATTTATAGTGCCAGTAATGTTAGATGAGTGTTTGGAATATTTGGAAAACCGTTCAAAAAATGGGTGTACTTATGAAGTGATTATAGTTAGCGATGGAAGTACAGATAAAACTGTGGATATTGCTCATCAGTATGCATTAAAATATGATAACATTAGAGTATTAAATCTTGTTAAAAACAGAGGGAAAGGTGGGGCAGTAAGACTGGTTAGTAACAGAATATTATGAAATTTAATTTATTATTATTGTCATTATCTTTTATCATAATTATTTTTATTTAAGGGTATATTAAGTGCAAGAGGGAGCGTAATATTATTTGCAGATGCTGATGGTGCTACTAAGTTTACAGATTTAAAAAAGTTAGATGATAGTTTGAAAAATATATTAGGATGTAAGTTATCTCTTAAGGTATAATATAAAGTAAACTTAAATATTTATAGTGATAAAACCATCTTTTCTAGTTGATTATATAGATAAGCCAAATGAAATCAGTTCTTCTCATGCAATAGTATGTGGATCTAGAGCTCATTTAGAGAAAGAAGAAACTGCTAAAAGAACCTTTTTTCGATTGTTACTAATGCATGGATTCCATTTCCTAGTGTGGTTTTGGGGAGTCAGAGGTATTAGGGATACACAGTGTGGTTTTAAACTTATAACACGTGAATCTGCAAGAGTTGTATTTCAAGCTCTACATGTTGAACGTTGGGCATTTGATGTAGAAATGTTATATATTGCAAGAATTCTAAACATTCCTATTATTGAGATTCCTGTGAATTGGACAGAAATTGAAGGATCCAAAATAGTCCCTTTCTGGAGTTGGTTACAAATGGGTAAAGATTTATTTTTCATTTGGTATAAGTATAGAATTGGGGCATGGAAAATAAAAAGATCTAAACAAACGTAATACAAATGTGCACAGAACTCAAAATATTTATAAATAAACCTTTTATTCAATATTTTCACTATAGATAACATTAGATATCATGTTTAACACAATTAGATAATATAATTTACCTAGTAATCATGAAATATTTTTCCTTTGTAAGGAAAATTTATAAATGTGAAAAACCATAACAAGCTTTATTTAATAACCTTGTATCCTGTTAGGATGATAATAATCTTTATTTTAGTGAACAATCATATACAAAAAAGTATGATAGATTATCATAAATGTTTTTAAAAAGAAAGAGAGCTGTTTGGTGTTTTAGATTAACTTAATCAAATTGAGCAAGATATATTACTTCGTTTATATATTTATTCTTTTATCCATTATATGCATTGTAATATGTAATGATCATTGTTAATAAATAACACTTTATAAAGAAGTAATTTTTAATTCAATTAATATAGTTTATTTTATTCTGAGATTTTTAATAATTTTCTAGTAATTTCTTTATACGTACAATGATGTAGTACAACATTATATAAACAGATCATGACATTTATGTACTGAATCCTAGAGAAAATCGTCCGAAGATCGAGTCGTGATTAGTTGTGAAAAATTAACCTGGAAGACAAGAAGGTCCTCGTTCTGCCCATGCGTGACATGCTATGAATGTCTCAAACAGAGACAGAAACATTTTTCTCATCTTCGTCTGTCTCACAAGAACGCAGATTTTGTTGACCTTCCATGTTGATTTTTTACGAGTAGACATGATTCAATTTTCGGGCAATTTTCCCTAGCAAATATCAAGACCTGTTTGTATGATCTACAAGATATACTATATAGTTGAAAATAACCAGCCAAGTAGCTAATATGATTAATATGATATAGTATATATAAACGTAGTATAGTAACTACTAGTCACCATACGTTAGAACTATCAGTGGTGTGACGTGTTTGTGACGTCGTATTCTACGAAACTTTTTGCAAATTAATTCATATTATCTTTTACACTGTCACCATAATAAGTTACAAAGTAACGTTAGACAGATAGAAGTGTTAAATATAATTATTTCTAATCCTATATTTTGTGAAAGTAAACATTAGTTGAAAGATGGCTTTTGTATCGCCTATGCCTAGTCGAGAATTTCTCTGGGATGTTTTTCAAAGGTATGTCAAACTTTATTTGAATTTTATTCGTTTATCTAATTCTTTCATATCGAGCATATAACCTTTATAATTCTGCATATGTTTTGTCATTCAAATTATAATATGGTAAATGTTAAATTATATTTAATAATATATATGTATTATGTTATCCTTAATTAGGTCTAGCTTATTCATGAATGATACGAATTACATTTATATATTGCAAATTATACAAATTATGTATGTATATACAGAGTGGATTAGCTTAATATCTGGCTCGTTTATTGTTGTGCGAAAAAACTTATCGTGACAAAATTATATGCATTATTTCAAAGTGTTCATGCAATGATGCAACGAATTTTGACTCGAGATCATTTTGTTTCGAAATTCAGCGTCATTAATATTTCTTTAGATGGAATTTTATATCTTTTCATACGCGATCCGATATGATTTTTTATCCTCTACACAAAAGTATTAAGGTATTTTTATCTAAAAGTTCGTCATTTAAAAGATATTTTAATTTTAATTTGATTATCTTCCATACACAGCTTTATAAAATTAACATATTTATTTATTCATTCATTTTATAAATAATTGTATACTAAATACAATTTTGATAATAAATAACATATGACACAAACAAACTTAATGTTTTTTGGTTTGGATATTGCAGAGTTGATAAGGACAGATCTGGTGCAATTACTGCAGAGGAATTACAGCAGGCTCTTTCTAATGGGACTTGGACACCATTTAATCCAGAAACAGTTCGTTTAATGATTGGTAATTATTTGATTTTATTGTTTTAAATGACCACGTAAATCAATAAAAATGTTTAAAATGATATATTATAACAATGTATTCCATAGTTTCTGAGTAGATCTGCATGGTCTTTTATCATATTTAATATATTTTTAGTTTATCTCATTGCATTCATACAGGTATGTTTGACATTGACAAAACTGATCCTGATTCTTCAGGTATGTTTGATAAAAATCAAAAGGGAACAGTTAGTTTTGAAGAATTTGGAGCTCTGTGGAAATATGTAACAGACTGGGAAAATTGCTTTAGATCATTTGACCGGGACAACAGTGGAAATATTGATAGAAATGAATTAAAAACAGCTCTCACAAATTTTGGATACAGATTATCAGATCAAATTATAGACACTCTTATACGCAAATATGATAGAGCTGGTCGTGGCACTATATATTTTGATGATTTCATTCAGTGCTGTATAGTCTTATATGTAAGTATTCATTTGTGTAATATTTTGTTAGATTATGTACATTTATGTTTAAAAAAATATATAAATTTTATTTTTTAGACATTAACTTCTGCCTTCAGACAGTTGGATACAGATTTGGATGGTGTCATTACGATTCACTATGAGCAGTTCCTAGGCATGGTATTCAACCTTAAAATATAAGACATTTTTATGCTTGACCAATGTTATTCTTGCCTATGTTGGCACTATGTTTTTTATTGTACAAATGCTATACAAACTATTTGATGCCAAATCTGAAAATCTGGAAATACGACTTTATTTTATAAAACTTTTTCCACGCCAAATTTAAAATCTTATGTATTTAATGTGCTTGTATGTTCAATTCTTAATTAAGAAATTATAAATAATCAGTTATATGTATATATAAACATTCCAGGAAAAATGTATACATATAACTAAATTTGATCATAAGCATGAAAATTTAATTTTTATTCTTTGTCTGTTATAGGAAAACAGATATAATAAATGTTACATATAAAAAATATTTAACAAATAATTATTAGATGTTACAAAAAAGTTGGACATATTTCAGATAAGAAATATGCAATTGAGATAAAAAAAAAATGATTAAAATTTCCTATGCAGTATACATTTCATAAATGCTAGACTTGTAATTTCTATAACACAGTATACAAAACACATGCCAATTATAGATACATTAAAAATCTGATACTTTCTATACCTTAGTATCTTTAAGTATTCTTTAGTGATCTAATATCAATACAGCTTTTAAGGCACAGCACTTCAAAATCTATTAAATCATATATAAGTTTGATAAAATACGTACAAAGTTAAAGTTATTTTAACTATATTTTCTCAAAATGCTATATACTATTTGCATTATGTATGAAGTCCATATTTCTGTACTTTTCTATTATTATTAAATTGATTATAAACATATATTTTAATTGAATCTATGTGTACATATGTATATTTTTCACCATCCTATTTATTCATTGTTTGACTAAAAAAAGCGTGAAAATAAGTTATACAATAAATTGAGGAACTAAATAAAGAACATATATGTAAGTACATATGTAGTCACGTATCGAATGCAATCGGTTACTGCATTAATTCTTCAGCCTTAAGGAACAGTAGTTTGAAATAAACGACACATTAAAATAAGACTGATATTTTTTATATGTCTAATAAAATTTGATTTATTTTTTATAATGAATTTAGTAAATTTCTGCCGAGCTCTTCCAAAATTGGTATGTAATCTGAAACTTATACAACATAAAACGTATAGGTTAATGCTTAAAAGATATCTTTTCTTCTGTGCTTAACAGGAACTTCATGCTCATTTAAATGGATCCCTAAGCGTGGATACTTTGAAGAAATTGTATAAAATGCAAAATCCTAATTCAGAAGACTCTGACAAAATATTTACGAGTATAAAAGATTTTTCATCATTAGGCGAGTACGAATGAGTTTTCAACTTCAAATTATACATTGTGTTATTATATTGAAAACGTGCAATAATTGATTCGTAGGTGTTTCAAAGTATTTGACATAGCACATTCATTAGTAGTAACACCAGAAGCAGTTTTTCATTCTACCTACGATACAATTAAAGAATTCAAAGATGATAACATAATATATTTGGAGCTTAGAAGCACACCACGTGTTATTCAAGGAAAAATGACAAAAGAAGAATGTGTAGAAGCAATTATAAAAGCATTTGAGTAAGATTTAACTAAAATGTTTGTTTTTTAAACAATCAATCAAACATCTAAGTACTTTTAACTGGATATTATAGGGTGTGCAAGATTGATTTTCCAGGCATATTATTGAAGTTATTAATATCTATTAATCGTAAACAAGGATACAAAGCAGCACAAGAAAACATAGAATTAGCAATAGATTTTATTAAGAAATATCCCCAATATATTGTTGGACTTGATCTCAGTGGAGATCCAATGACAGGAAATACATTTTTAGAATTATTGGAAAAAGCTAGAATGGCTGGACTTAAAATTGCAATCCATTGTGCAGAGGTAGAGATTAGTTACCATTTAAACTGAACTTAATCTTGTTGAATCTTTGAATACATTAAGTGTTTTCTCATTTGTCTCATATAGATTTCAAATGAAACTGAAACAATAGATATCCTTGAATTTAAACCAGACAGATTGGGACATTGCACTTGCATTCATCCCACACTACAAGGATCAAACAAAATATTTAATTTGCTTCTTAAGTCAAAAATTCCTGTAGGTAAGAGTGGTAAACATATGAAAATTTGCTAATTACTTTATACAGAAATATACCGAATATTGTTTTAACATTTGCTTTTTATCTTTTGTTTAGAATTGTGTTTAACTTCGAATGTTCAATGTAAAACAGTACCTACTTATGAATCTCATCAATTTAAATATTTGTTTGAAGCTGGACATCCTATTTGTCTTGGTGTGAGTAGAGTTATTAACATTTATCTGAGTAATTATTTGGAAAGAATATTTTATTTCTTTTTAGACCGACGACAAAGGTGTTTTTCATACATCTTTGTCTCACGAATACGAAATAGCTAGTTCAACGTTTGGTTTAGAACGAGAACAACTCATAAAACTTTGTCTATCATCTGTACAATATGCTTTTGCGACATTAGAAGAGAAACAAGCAATATTGTGTAAGATCGAAAAATTTGCTAAAGAATATAACGTTACATATTGAAATTGTAATGAATTATCGTCAATGAGATCGACAATTCATGTCGCTACATATATGTATAAAAATTTGGTAGACACAAACATTCGATCGAATTGACAAAGTATATACATGTTGTATAAAGACGTAACGAGGTCATAGACTATTGAAATAAAAGTAATATCGATTTTATTCGTTATAATATCTGCGGGCTCGTTTACATGGATTTACAGATAATTAAGCTACTTACAAAGATTAAAATAGTTGATGTCATCAGCATTCTGTTTTTTTTTTTTAAATTGTATATAGTATATACAACGTATATAATAATTATTACAATGTTATGCCTACAAATGTGCTGAATTTTTTTTCGATATTGAAGAAAAAAAGTAGTAATACTTACAAACCGGCGTCAGTCTAGTCGGTTCAATAAACATTAATAATTGTCTTGTAAACTATGAAAATCATCGAGTGCAGCGAAACTGTTAATGTTATATTTATTTTTTTGTTGCTCATTTTTGTATTTGATGTTTTTAGCATTTTAGTGTTTCGTGTAATCAATTAAAAAGTAAAACGATGAATTTACCACATAAAAAAGATGGTCAAGAATCAAAATGTCGTCATTAATTTCAAGATCGCCGCAGGAATATTTTTCTTATTTGAGATCAAATGTTTCGAATAAAAATGAAAAAAAGAAAGAAAAAAGGGATCAGCCTTTTATCTTCATGCAAGAGCAACAAGGATTCCTTTTCTTAACTTTGATTCAAATATTCCTTTTTCTATCATTTTTTCTTTTTTTTTTTTTTTTGTTCTTCTATTAGAACCGTCACTTGCTAGCACGCCATAACAAGATGATAGTAGTAAATATCTGAATAATACTAATAGTAGTAATAGTAATAGTAGCTACATGGTTGTAATATTGGCGATGATGACAATGTTGCTCTTAATAATAAGAAATTCTATCCTACATAATATACATTCTATGTAACAGTCTTTTGGTTAATATTCGATATATAAACAATAAAACAATTTCATTTCCTCACCTGCATCATTATTAATACGCAGATTCTCAGATCTTATTGTGTTATGTCGGGTTCTGCTATTGCTTTAGAGATGGTCGATAAATCATTCGCCAAATCTCTTTCCTGATCTATCTTATGTCCTTTGTATTATTGTTGCGCGGATTGTTCTCTAATATCTTATCTCCGCTACGTCTTTATCTTAACAGCTATGCCTATGGATGGTTTTATTTTCGTACTCATTGTATTGCGAATACACTTATCTTCTACAAAGGGTATACATTCCAATTGTGTGATTTTTATCCTGCGCGTTACGTACTAGGCATTATGTAAAGTAAACATTGCTATATTTATATATTTATAGATCGATTCGTGGGTGTTCAGTGTTTTATAGTTACTTGACTGCGGTATTGTTATCGAACTGGCCCTAGCAGACATCGAAAAACATCTTTATTCATCGTTAAAAAATAAAGGGATTTAGGAAATTTGACGATGCGTGAGTCAACGGCAAAGGTGCGAACGGATCAAACATTCGGATGATACGCCGCTAAATGCTTCTATAGTAAACGCCCGTACCTTTTGCGTACTTAGTATAAAATAAAGAAAACAACGCGAAAGTATAGAATAAAAATAAAAGAATGGCTAACAATTTGCTCTAAGCCCACGTTCTGTTTCGTGAAGACCACTCACGAAAGAATCATATAAAAATGTCTGAATGAAAAATGAGGGATCAAGTATTTTCACTTTCCGATTCTCTTCTGTCAAAAGTTTAACTGTAACAAAAAGAAAATGAAAGAAAATAAAAATTCTGTATCTAGTAGTGACGGTAGAAGTAGTAGTAGTAGTAGTAGTAGTAGTAGTAGTAGTAGTAATAGTAGTAGTGTAGTAGTAGTGTAGTAGTAGTAGTAGTAGTAGTAGTAGTAGTTGTAGTAGTAGTAGTAATAATAATAATAATAATAATAATAATAATAATAATAATAATAATAATAATAATAAAATAATTATAATATTAATGGCTTTTTCTCATAAACTGTCGCACTGAACTCTGTTCCTTTTTCTCGCTCTGGTTCTCTCTTACGGAAGGCAAAATATATTTAAATGATTATGTACACTTAACAAACGGGCGACAAGATGGACAATTGTCTACGCACGCACTTACGTAGGTGTACATATATATGTATGTACTCGCATGTATATATATAGTATATTTGTATATACACATATACACACACCTAGATTCTACATTTGCAATGATATCGTATTGATAATAATGATAAAAACAAACGCACACGTGCTGATTTAAAATGCTATAAAATATCCGTAGGAGATTCGATGAAAAAATAATATATATTTGTAGAGTTTGTGAAGTAGAAAGCATTCTCCAGTGATCTTGACTGGGAGCACTAGCTGAATATAACAATTGGTTTAAGGAGCAAATTTTGGAAAGAGAACTGTGCTTACAAGAAAAAAGAGAGAATTCCATCAGAAATTAACACATGTTCTTTCTCGCGAATATTTTCCGTTCTAGTTCACCCTTACAAATATGTACTATTTTGACTACTTTTTTGTTTCGTTTTTTAATTATATTATTAAGGTTGAACGAAAGGAAAGACAATGCGAGATCTGCGGCGAACGATACGCTGAGAAGGTTTCCATCGAACGCAAGAAACCGTAAAATATAAAGATACATAATTAAAAACATATCTTTTCATTGCACTCAAAACATGCATACATTATTTATACAATACCATTCATAATATCATCATCATCCAAGCAGCCTATTGTCATCACGATTAATTTACGTATCATATATATTTATACAATTTCTAGGAACCTAACAGGTATTCGTGTATGATACGAGTAAAAGACAATTCGAGTTGGTAAATGTAAATTATAGTCTTCAAAGAAAAATCAAGTTCGATCATGGCAGACTGCTTCTCGTTCGTTTATGGGTTATTACTCTTGTTATATGTAGATAATCATCAAGTATCAAGACAACGTGATAGGCTGATGGTTCCTTAATCGTTGAGCATTCACGAAACCACACTCCGAGACGGTTTCGAATTGCTGTTGCTGCATGTTGGTGCATTGTCCTTGGTTCTACTGCTACTTTGAGCGAACAAAACACCTTGATACATCACTCCATTCAGCTCCATACTGACTACTAAGGAATTATCACCATTTCTTCCGTCTCCTACAACCAGACATTTTATAGAATGAAATTTGATATTATGGACTGAAATGTTATTTAAAAATATTAAAATAGCAAAAAATATCAAACATAGAAGATAGATAATTTAAATGGAGATATATTTTGATGTTATGCGAAGGTCAAATTTGTTTCTTTTTTTCTAAGCAGAATCATATTCGTCCATTTTTTCTTTTTTTTTACCTCGATTGGAAATTTTAATATGCGTGCCGGTAGCGACCATTGCATTCTTCTCCGCCAGACTATCGTCTTCAGAGAGTGATCTTTTTGCCGGTGGCATTCTACATGTATTAGTTAAATCTTGATCCTTCTTTATTTGTATGCTACCTCCCGAAGAGGGCGAACTTTGCCTCATTGGTGATAAGCATATGGGCGATGACCTAAGAAAAATTCGATTACTAATCTTTGTCATTCCTTTGAAATTAAGAATTGAATTCTTACCTAAGTCCAAGGTCAAGAGCTTCCCTTTGAGGTTCAGGACTGGGAAGTGCAGGTACCGGTGAGTGTGAGGCCTGTGGTGACATGGGCGGTTGATGAGCCATTCCTGGGTATAGAGTATTGTTATTGTACATATTCCACAATGTCAGTCGGGACATTTCTAGGGCACTGAACGCGCCATCCCTCGGTGGTGTCAAAGGTGGAGGTGACGCGCTATCTTGTCGATGAATTACGGGTGGCGGTGTAACACCACCTCTAAGTTCTTTGTTTAATAGCTTCACGTATTCGACCATGCGTGTTTCGAACTCGGATGGTGCCATCCCAGGAATAGGTCCTGGAAAGATTATCGAGGGGAAGAGAAACTGCAGTTCTGTCGAAAGGAGATTTTCGTCGATCATTTACACGTTTAAAAGCCAACTGTCGAGTTTGAATAGTTGTTTGGTAAGATACTAAATTAGAGTGACTCTATAGTGATTGGCGTGGCTCCATTGGACACGACGAAGGAAAAGCAGGAAAGCGGTTGGAGGAAATCGAGAAGATCTGCTCCGTCAGAATGTGTCAGGACCAAACTCCCATTTCGACATTCCGACAAATAATTTATCTAAGGTACGGCTTTGCTACTGTCTGTCTCAACCGCATATCCGCTCTTCCTCAATTAACACGATTAATTTCGATTCAATTTTCATTACTAGCCGCAAGTGCAGTTTTTACATTCGATATGTCGTCAACCAATCTTAGGACTTTTCTCATTTTTATCGGTACCGCGTATACGATTTGTATCGTCTTTTTGGACGTTAAAAGAGACTTGATAAGAGAGTCACGCAGATTAACGTTAATTAAGTTGGAATAGCTCAAATACTAAACCAATATTATTCGTTTCTTACAAAATATTTCTTTTTTTGACTACCAAGCGACATGAAAGTCGAAAAGCCAAAAAAAAAGAAAAAAAAAGAAATTAAACGATCACATTTTTCAGCAAGGTCTGGTCTATGTGTTTGATATAAATTATTGCGAAATATTTCTTCCGTAGGTTCGTGTTTTTTAGTTCGCATCCTGCATTCAAGTCCGTACCACGTGTAGAACTTAAATCCGCTTCTCGCGGTGAACGCGTTAAAGCCATGATACGTGTTGTTCGAATGATTTCGACTATTAATAAATTTGTTGTTGTAAGAAAGAATTTAATACGTTGTATAGTACGCAGAAAAAAGAGAAAGCACACAGATTGGACGTAAAGGCAAATTCGGGGGGCGGGGCAAACAACGAGCAAATGGGGTGCGAGTCGTAGGAGCGAAATTGGTCCGAAGCGAGGTCAGAGGGTGGCGAAACAGGGCGAAAAGGGGCGAAGTACGGTTATGGTAGGGTCGAGAAGGAGGAAGAAAGGGGTAGGGAAGTAGGAATGCTCGTTAGCGAGAGTCATCCGTTAACGCCTGTCTCCCGGAGGATCGTACAATCAATTACGCCTCCTTCGCTCTCGCATCATCATCTCTGGGGAGGCCCGGAACCTTAACTACCGATTTAAAATAAACCCGCTCCTCTTCTGCTCCCTTCCCGACCTATCTCTTTCCTTCGTTCGCATCTGTCTCCTCGCGCACCGCTAACTTTTCATCTAGATCCTCTCAGGCTCCGTTTCGACTCCCTCGTTTCCGGTACTTCTTTTCCATTCATCTTGGTTCGAATCGTGCCGAGAATTTCCAGATCTCTTTACGACCGACGGAATTTTAAAGAAACGAGTCCAGACTTCAATATTAGAACGCTTTTGTACCGGCAGCTTGTGGACGTTATTATTTCACTCTCATTATTTTTATAAATACGAATTGAAGAAATGAAATCTCGACCTGTTTCTTTATCCAGCCGTACATTTCATTTTATATTATTTTCTTATTATCGTTGTATCAACTGTTCGTAATCGATCGTAGTACAAAAATCGCGGAATTTCGTATACTCGGTTCTTTCTAAACTCTACGATAAGATCAATAAAATGCTTTTCGTAATCAGTGCATGTCATAATTTTGTCACATTGTCACCATGTTAACGATACACATGTTGGTTTAAATTGCGAATATTTATGCAAATACATAGCTTTACGAATACGTATAATAAAAAAAAATCGTTAAAAAATTGCTTATATAAAAAATGCTTTCATTTACTAAATATTATAAAGAGTATTACACCTTATAGCTATATATTTCTACGTATTACGCGTACGTAAGAATTCGCAATTTAGTCCTATGCGTATAGTTACTGACCTGCATTTGATTGGCCTGCTATTCCCTGAGAATGTTGCGGATGATGCGGATGGTGGGGTAAGGGTGTGTGCGCGGCACTTCCATTCACCAGCGATTGCGGTCCATGGTGTTGACCACCAGCCGCTACCGCCGTCACCAATGATAACGGTGATATTTGCGCGTGCAACGCGAGCGAGTTGGGTGTGTGGGGGTTTCTCTGCACGAGACTTTCGCTCGTCGTGCTGCTGCTCGTCGCGTATGTCCCATAACTGCTTCGACGTCCCTCTCGACGATTCCCGTCGATCGCCGCTTGCAATTCCGCCGGCGTTGATAGGCGTCTCTTCTCGCACTCGTACGGATACAGGTATTTCATGTACCTGGGAGAAAAGTAACCGTGTAGAGGCGCATAGAAAGCCGATAGGTCGTGTGTTGATTTTTCGCTCATAAGACCGTTATCGCTCGCTTTCTAAGACAATATTGCTTTAAGACACATAAAGTACTCTTCGTGTTGCCCCGTCAAATTCGAAACTAACCCCTTAACCTACAATATCGTGCAAGACGTGGTACATTGATCGGACCAAACATCAACCACGCGTATGGGAGACGTGGTACGTCGATCTTACTGATTTATTATTTATTTCAAGACAATAAATCTCTCCTGTTCAATGAACAATTGGTAATAATCATTTGTCAAACATCATGCAAAATAAAATTAGTTATACCTTGCACATGCATTTACATGTCAAAAGACGTGCGCGATTTGCACAACTTCGAACGTTCAGCCAAGCCGTGAAATGGCTCGACGTGTGATCGGCCTTGTTGTTTGCGGTACGCGCTATTGCAGCTTAAACCGTAAGGCAAGGGAAAGATCTCGCGATTTTTCTTACTTCGTGAAAACCTTTTAACGTATTATCAGAGGAATTCGTTGCACTCAATCTCCTTGTTAGTGAAAACATCGTTTTCGTATCGGAGAAAAGCAAGTTTGAAATATAAATAGGGTCGAAATCGGTAAATAGGGAAGAAGATACGCCCGGGGACATTTCAGTTTCAATGAAATTCGATCGGCGTTTAAACGACGTTTTTGCGAACGAACGTAGTGTACGCAGTCGAGGAAAGTTACTTCCTCGTTTAATGACAATAAACGTGTATAAATAATATCGAGGATGAACACGATATATAGTTATATTTGTCGTTCTTTACGAAAGACCAGTCTTTAAATTGAATATGTTTGTCGTCATTTAATCCCAGCTTTCTTTATGGTCCTTACATCTCCTATACGAATTTCATCAAGCTTTTCTCTTATGACCTTTATATATCTTCCTATGACTTTGCAGACAAACAAATTAGGGTCAGCTTTGTCGAGAGCAAATAAAAAATAATTAAGGTAAGATTAATTATAGTATAACACGTAAAATATAAAACAAAATTGATTTTATATTACTGAGCACGTGCCAGTACGCTTTTCCGGAACATGAGATTCCTGTAAGAAGAACACGGTTTTTAATAAAAGATATCAACCTATTAATAAAATTTATGTTAGACCAAGACGTGGTAACGGATAATTAGCAATAAGAAATAATACCTATATAACAACGGGGGTAGAAATTAAGGGAAAGATAGCAAGAACTGAGAAACCGTTATATTTTTTTACATTTCTTCTTCTAAACTATATTTAATAATTTAATGTACAGAATAATAATGAAATTTGTATAAGAACAATGTATTACATTATTATCAAAAACGTAAAAATTGTAATATTAATAGCATGCACTTGTTTATGCTCATCACTTTGAATATTCGGTTCTTCGTATTGCACATCTAGTTTGGTGTCGATTCAACTTTCACTGCATTTTCGAATTATTTACTATTGTTACTCACCATTCCCTATCGGTTTTCCATAAGTTTGCCATCGGACGAAAACCTTCTCACATTTTCTAAACAGTAAACTGTCGCGTTATCTTGTCGACAGATAACAGATCTTCTTTTCTGCATCTTTTGATTTTCTTCAGCAAATGTTATCGTATTTTCCAATAAGTTCATGTATTGTTCCAAATGCAGTCGTGTAAAAACGTGTCACGTTGTTGTTTTTAAAAAATTGCTCGGTGCATCTCACACATCCTACATCGTAACATTTAGTTACGATAAATTAAAAAAAAATTCAAAAAAAATAGTATTAAAAAAAGTGATATTTAAATGAAAGTAATAATTAAATTAGTCTGGACCATTCGGATTAAGTCTCGTATCATCGGAAAACACGACGTCCCTCCACTTCTCACGCCAGAGCATGTGATTTCCTTCAGATTCCAATCTTACTCTTTATTTACACTTTAATCTTCTATCTTGTTGGAATATTTGTTGGACATGTCACTTGTCATTTCATTGTCATACTTGTCATACATCCAGTAGGAATTTTTTTAAATATCCGTGAATGATCCGGCATCCTGCGATTCCATCTTGCTAATTTAGTATTATCATCTGCATAATGGTTTTTACCGTAGTTTTCCGACATTTTTACGCATTGGATGTGTTAATTTTTGTAAAAATTTCTCCGATAGATAAACACGCAATGTTTACTCGTCTTTCTCACATTGTAACTGTTACCAATTAGTAGTTAACACTGCTGACAATATCAATTCTCTTAAACGTTGCACAAATGTTGAGACACAATCAAATAACTGTCCTCGTAAAAATTTCACCCACTTTTGTAACCGATCGCTCGACTTTCGAAAAACTGTATCACGTTTCTTCGTAGCAGAGCAGTCAAATTCGAGGCACAGTGCCATAGAACGCGACGAGAAAATAATACAGGAGAGGTAGGTATTAATCGAAATCGCGTCATGGGCGAAGGCAACGTTGTCCATCGAGGCGGAGGAAGACGTCGCGGTTCGCCGGACGCGAAATTGGCAAGGCAGATCCGGACGACGTGCGTGGTACGATGCGACGCCTAATTTAATCTCGCGTCTCGTATCATTCGTGTCTGTGCCGCTCGACTTTAATGTTCGACCAGACTGTTCTAATTGCACCTGAACGATACTGCCTGTACGCTTGCGACAGACCAATAGCTTTGCGATGGCCTGTGATTCGCAGACAGCTCGCTAATGTCTGCTTCCATTAATTTTGATACGCTTCGCTATATCGTGCAAGGAGAAAAAGATCGAGGACAAGCAGATCGATCGATCTAAAACGAACGTAAAGCGTAAAGAGACACCGCGAAAATTGTTCACCGCGATGTGACTGTTTTTTATAATTTTGTTATCGAACAAGAAAGGGAAAATAGGGGACAATAAATTCAAAATACACTGGCTTGGTTATGCTTCGTTTATGCGACATTACAACATTTATTACAAGCTGAATCTTCTAGATGCCAATTTATAAGAGCAAAGAAGAGAGACATCAGAGACAAACGATCCGCAATAAGAGATAAACTATAGCATAGAAATAGCCTGTACTCGTATACAGTAGCCTAATCTCGTACAACAACGCGCTATTGTTTATTGGAAGCCAATATTCCTTCGACTTTTCCAATATTTATCGTCGAGTAAGGTACGAGAAACAGGGAACAACGATTCATAGATGCTAACTGTTTCTCACTGGAACTCGATTTTTTCAACTTTTATATTCGATGAGAAGGGCAAAATAGCGAGCAATTAATCCAAGATAAAACCAAATCTCGACGATACATAACGCGTTATCAGTTGCCTGCTGATAACCGATCTCCTATTTTTCGGATCTCCGATTTTTAACATTAAACGAGAAAGAAGGGATAGGAGAAAATAGATTCGAAATGGAAGCAATAAAACAGGTAACAAGAGTCAAGTACAGAGTCAGCCATAATTCGAAAACCGCAACACGAAATCAACTTCTTCGACGGTAGGAAGACGAGCTTTGAAAAAGCCGAGTAATTCGTAAATATTGTTTATTTTGACGCGCTATCGAAGCCAGACCAAAAAGGAGACCCTCGGCGAAGAGGTGGCGGGAGATCGACCGACGTTCGCACACACGTTCGCGGATAGACATATTCTCGCAAGAGAACCGTGGCCTATAATTCGCGCAGGGATCGTTCGGCTTTTACGATTGTCTGCCAGACTGCGGCCGAAACTAGCCCTTCGGCCCGGTCGTTTTCTCCTCCTCCGCCTTCTCGGCTTCTTTCTCTTTTTCTTCCTTCTCTTTGTCTCCTTTCTTTAACAACGAAGAATCTTCTCTCCCTCGACGAACCAAAAACTCCGTGCATCTCGTGCGTGAGCAACAACCAACGAAAACAATCTTCAGCCCCATAGTTTCGTCTCAGCTTCCACTGTGTGTGCACGCGAGACTTTGTCCAGGTGTGCGTCGTTGGTTCGGGGCATAAATCTCTCTCTCTCTCTTTCTCTCTCTCTCTCTCAGAGTGATAATCAAATTCGCGCTGCATCGCTCGAACGAAGAAATTCGTGCCACATAGCGAAACCTGGTTTCCGGGGAATTTTCGCGTCCCGTGGCGTCCCTGACGATTAACGAACAACCAGCGAAGATATACTGCCTGATTTTCACGAGAAAAACGAGCTTCGTTGGCACGAGCTACGGTGTTTTAGCTTGTTGGCTCTCAAGATTCGGGTATACATCTTGCGCGTATTAAGCTACCTTCTCACCGAATAAGCGACGAGGAACTTCTCGCCTCTCGTTATTGCATATTTCAAATAGTATCCGACAAATATCGATCTGTAGAAACGTTTCGTTTACGTTGAAGCAACGTAATCGGAGGAAGATTTCTATTTGCGTTAGGTTTTGAAGCGGCGTTTCGTTCTAGCGACAACTTGTCCATGCACAACTGCGTTGTGGAACAATCGTCGAATTGTACACGCCAAAGGAATATCGTTTCTGTTGCGACGTTTTTCTTAAGATCGGTTTCCGGTCTTATATCGGAACTCGTGATCTGTTCCTTAACAGATTCTCCTGTGGAAATGCTCCTGTTTGGTTCTAATATGCGAACAGTCGTCGAAGAGGTGCATAGTTACAGACGACGTTCTCACTGGTGGATATTTCCATTGTGAAGCTTTGTTCGTGAGAAGCGTGCGAGCTGTCTCAAGTAAAAGTCTAAAATGTCCAGAAAGAATGTTCGTGAACTGCTCACATAATTTATTGCTTCAATAACGAAAACTAAAAGACAAAAGGCATATTCTGGAGGTACGAGAGCGAGATATTATTACGGTATTACCTTATACAAAGGTATATTATTCATTTTATGCCTCCTTTACCCATCCCCTAGTCGCATCGTAAACCAGAAACCCGAAAAGGTAATCTTTCAATGGTAATTCAACCGATTATGAATTTCATTATGAGACGACTTTAGTTGGATTACTGAGAAACCCTTGCGGTAAACATAATACTAAACGCAACCATA